TCAATTAGTGTCTAGCCTGGGCTATATAAAATTCTATCTCCCCCATCCCTGCAAAAAAAAAAAGATTCCGAGGCCAGCATGGTAGTACATACATGTAATTCCAGCCCTTGGGAGACCAAGACAGATTGGGAGTTGGTGGACAGCCTGGGCTATGTAGTAATAGATTGTCTAAAGTCAGCAAAACAAACCATGTCTACTGTATTGGAAAGGGGAAGGTCTGTTTAACATAGATTCAGTCAGTGGAAATACAGTGTACAGAGTCAGAAGACTGGAGGCAATATCAGAAGGGACAATAGAAGAGACCGTCAGTAAAAGAGGCTGCTGGGTTTTTAGTATTGTTTGTTTGTTTTGTGGGGGCAGAGTCTCACTGTATATTCCTGGCTGGAGCTTGTTTTATAGACCAGGTTGGTCTCAAACTAAAGTCACAGGCCACCACACCAGAGGAAGGGAAATCATGTTAGGTCCATTGGAATGGAGCCCTAGTCCTGGCCACTGTGGACCTGAGCATCCCCTCAGAAGTCCTCTCCTCAGATGAATGATATCATCCATGTCTGGAACACAGGAACCAAGGATGGGGGTATGTGGCCTGGCCGGCTCTGCTCTAGTTTAGGGTGAAGGGAAGGTGAGATCTAAAGACTGGAAAAAAATGGTCATCAAGATTAAAGAAAACATAATTACATGTAATGGATGAAAGTTGATTGGATCCTTGTTCGAGGGGAGAAAATTCATTACAGAAAACAGCAGGAGACAACCGGAAAGTAGATGGCAGTGGAAAATAACCGAGGATTTCCCCAAGTATGACAGTGAACTTGTAATCTTCTATTCTCTCTCCCTCCCTTCCTCCACACGGCACCCCTGTGCAACCTAGGCTTGCCTTAAACTCGTGACCCTCCTGCTTCAGCTTCCCGACATTGGTCTTGTGCCGCTATCTCGGAGGAGACCTCTAATTGCTAGAACCCAGTTCGCTAGCTTCGGGCAAGGGGGCTGGAGGTTAAAATACACAGACACACACAGACAGAGAGACAGCGACACGAGTCATCCTTGAATTCCCCAAGAATGCTCCCTTTATTGTGTTCACGGGCAGATTATATAGAGATAGCCATGCCCCAGCCAAACCCACCAGAAACCACTCTCCTGCCATCAAGAACTCCTGAAGGTCTCGTGCTCAGAGCAGCTGTAGGTACTCAGATCAGGGGATTACAAGAAATTCAGGATCTGGGGTCTCACTGCTCCCAACAGTCTTGTGTGCCCTTTTTACCTTTATTTAGGTGTATGGGGTGGTGAGTGCAGTGTCTGTAAAGTCCAGAAGAGGGCGCCAGATCCCCAGAGCTGGAATTATTGGCAGTTGTGAGCCACTTGGTGTGGGTGTGGGGGAGCAGGGTGTGCTCTGCACTGCGGAACCATCTCTCTCTCCAGCCCCCTGAGCTGCTTCTGCTGAAGAAGGCTTGAATCCCTGCTGATGTTCTCAGGGACAAAGGCTCACAACATCTGTGTTATTTTTTAAAAGAAGTCAGCAAAAGAAAAACGGAAGTGGAGGTTATAGAAAAAATGTGGCCAAGGTGAGCAGCAGTATTTACATAAAGATTTTCTCGATACTTTTAACTTTCATGGTTTAAATTTTTCTAATAAAAAATATTGGGAGAGCCGGGCACTTGTTTGTAATCCCAGAAGAAATAGAGTTAAGAGGCAAGTTGGGGCTGGGTGGCGGTGGCCCACGCCTTTAATCTCGGCACTCGGGAAGCAGAGGCAGGCGAATCTCTGAGTCCGAGGCTAGCCTGGTCTACAGAGCGAGTTCCAGGACAACAGTCTCCAAAGCTACACAGAGAAACCTTGTCTCAAATAAATAAATAAATAACAAAACAAATAAAAGAGCCCAGTCGGGGCTGCAGAGCCAGACCTTGTCTCAAAAGAAAAATGTGGGAGGGAAAGAAGTGACAGGGGGTACTGGCAAACATGTACTGCCTGGGCCTCGAAGGTGGCACATCAGCACTGTGGATGCAGGCTTTGTGGCCTCACCTCTGCTGCAGGGGTCAGCAGAGCCCCAGCTGCTGTTTTCCATTCTGTTTCTTATCATTAGGTGTGGCTGCTTGAGGCCTTATCTGCTCTGCTGTTTAGCCACCACCAAATCAAGCTGAGCCCCCCAAAAGATTACGATGGGAGACAGTGCACATTAGCACAACCCCCACAGCAACCCAGATGAAGTCCCAGGTCCCCAGAGGCAGATCTTTTTATTTATTTATGTTTTGGTTTTTCAAGAAAGGGTTTCTCTGTGTAGCACTGGCTGTCCTGGAACTTGTTCTGTAGACTAGGCTGGCCTCGAACTCATAGAGAACTCTGCCTCCTGAGTGCTGGGATTAAAGCCTGGCTTTAAAGATAGGTATTTTTAACCACGGTCACACAGCTGGCCTGTGATGGAGCAAGAATTTAAATCCTGTTGGGTCCATGACTGTACATTTCATACTTAATGAGGTATAACTTCTACACCATAAAATTCAGCCATCGTTAAGAGGACAGCTGGATGCGTCTTACCAAACTTCTGTGTAACCGTTAACACAGCCCCGGCTCCGAAAGTTTTCCCTCTGCTTCCTTCTCCTGCTCCTGCCATCCTCCAGGGCCAGCTGCGTGGTCTTCTGTGGATTCTAGGGCAGCGGTGAGCACTCAGAAGTATGTGGGTCCCAGTGTCAAGGAGCTGCATTTGAACGGTGTCCAGGCGGCTCTAGCAAACCCCACTAACTTCCCTCCCTTCATTTCTTTACATCAGTGGATATGTAAGTGGGCATGCTATGGCACACACGTGAAAATCAGAGGATAACTTGCAGGAGATGTTGTTTTCTTTCTACCACTTAAGGGTTCTAGGGGCAGAACTAGGGTCCAGTCTTCCCTGAAGTACTCATCAGCCTCCCCCCCCCCTTTTTGAGAAAGGCTCTCAAGATGTAGCCCAGGTGGCCTGGAACTCTCAGCAGTACCCCTGCTCTGCATCCCTCCCCCTTCGCTGAGATCACTTTATCTTTTTATACTTGCGTTTCTCCCTTTGTAATGCAGATGCCACTCATACCCCGCCAGGGAAGAGAGGAGGCACACAGTGCTTAGCAGGAGAGCTGCTGCACTGGAGCTGCCCTTGAGGCTTCTGACACCTTATTACTGCCCTCAAGGTTTTCTCTTCTGATACTTACTTCACCTTTCTCTTCCAGGAACCCCTGTTTACCGGGTCCTGGGAGATGGATTCTCTACTACTTGGGAGCTCCATTGCTCATTCGGGCAGGGCTATTAGAGGAACTGGGGTAGAGCGGCAGCACCACCTAGTGGCAATGAATAAAAGCAAGCTATACACAAGGGGTTGTGTGGAGGACAGCGTTTTAAGTCCCTGGACATGCCACACATTAAAGACAAGAGTGTAAATGATGGCCCACCAAATCTCCAGAGACTTGAACAGTGAGCTAGAGGTATGGAGGATGGGGGCGGAGGCTGCTGGTCAGTGACTGCTAAAAGCTCCACATTGTCTTCTCTGTGTGCAGGTATATCTGTGAATCACGTGTGCGCCTAGTGCCCTCGGAGACCAGACAAAGGTGCCAGGTCCCCTGGGACTGGGGTTACAGACAGTTGTTAGTTGCCATGTGGATACAACAACTCGAACCCGAGTCCTCTGGAAAAGAAACCAGTGCTCTAAACCACTGAGCCATTTCTCCAGCCCTGACACTGTCTTTCCTATAGAAAAGACTCTCAGGCTGGAGAGATGGTTCAATGTTTAAGAACTCTTCCGGGTTTGATTCTCAGCACCCACATGGTGGCTCACAACCATCTGTCACTCTAGTTCCAGGTCAGACACCCGCTTCTGGTCTCTGAAGGCACCAGGCACACATGTAGTACACAGACATATCACCCAAACTCATAAAATAAAATTTAAAAAAGAAAAAGCTCTTCAAATCGCAGTATGGGTGCCATATCCATGCGTATACGGATCACCGCTGAACTGGACACTTCAAAGCCTCTCCAGAGCCTGTCACCTGGGCTTCCATTCACTGCAGGACAGTGTCTACCCGATGCCTGCCAAGGATGGTACGTCACTTTGGTCACACGAGGAACCTACTTTGAAACAAACCACATACTCTTCCTTTCCTAACACTGGAAATATCCTCAACCACTGAGACATGATGTTTAACAATTCAAATTACATGTTCTGCAATACACGGGTGCCTCAGGCCCAACCACCCATAACATCCCATATTCTGACACTCACAAAGACCTGTGCCCCCAGAAGCCCTAGGGCTGTTTCTAGGACAGGGCCATCCTTCCTAGGGTGGTCAAGTCCATGGTCACTTGCAGCCTCAGTGCTTCTAAAACATCAGCAGCTTCCCAGACAAAGTGGGAAAGAAGAGGGGACATGTGCCAAGGGATTTCTTTTTTGGTGCTGATGAAAATCATCTAAAATTGGCAGTGGCCTACTCTGTGAACATACTGACTCCCTGCATTGTACAATAAAATGAAAAACTAAAGGAAGCAGATTGGGCCCGCACAGCCTGCTTTCTCTCTGAGCATTTGGACTGGTCTTGCCGCACTGACGGGTGCTTAAAAAGGATGTGGGGAAAGGCAAGGCACCTAAAGCAGCTCTCCCATGGTAATGCTGGCCAGTTGGGGGCAGTGCCGCTGTCCTTAGTCGGACCCCATGCTACCTGGGGAAGGAGCAGAGCAAGGCATTCAGAAGCCTGTATCCTTTAGTCCTCGCCCCTCTGAGCCAGAACTGGTATCCGAGTTCACAGATGGGCACCAAGGCTAACAGCGAGTGGCTGGAGAATGAGGCAAGATGGACGCTAAAGTGGCTTTCAAAGCCCAGGCCTCTATCCAGAGCCACCAGAGTGAAGCCCCCCTACTCATTATGCCTCAGTTCCAAAGCCATGTGAGACGTGATATGGCTGTGCCAGGGGTCGGAGGGTGGGGCCGCACCTCCTGGTGTGTCCTGTGTGTAGGAGAAAGTCAGAAATAAGAGGAGATGGGACTCAGTTCACACATCAGGAGTACATCGCCGTGTCTCCTCCTTCCCAAGTAAGTTCTTTATTGTCTAACCAATCACCACGGTTACTGCGGCCTAGCACCAGGCCAGGCACACTAAGCATAATTACAAAGGGCAAGAGACTCCCTGCCAACGGGAGGTGTACAATTTCAACATTTTGCAGGAATTCCTCTGTGTCAAAAACCACATCTGGACTCAGTCGCCAGTATTGCAATGAACATTCTTTAAGTGGATTGTTAAAGACTCATCACAGCCCACATTCACAATGGCATAGAATTTTTCCTAGTATAACTTTGTTACCAATGAGCAGATTTATCATGTTCCTTGAAATTAAACTTGCGTTCCCCTTCCTAAAATAGGAATCAAGATTTTTTTTGAAAGGGGTTTTAAAAGGTTAAGCAGAAGGGCTTAAGTAAAATGTGGCCAAGAGTTGTATGGCCAGAGGGCTTGGAGCTGAACCCAGCCCCTCTCCAGACCTTCCTATCTATCACTATCTGCAAGACAACACAGCACACATTCCCAAACAGCTCTTGGACCACTACTGCCATTGAGGAGGGAGTCCATGCCACCAGAGCAGTCCAGGTAAAAGATGCTTCTCGGAGCAAAGTTTAGCACCAACCCAGGGAGTACAAGGGGTCACTGGGAGCTTCATCCCCTATATTAATCTCATGACTGTCTCACAAACTCAGAACTCATGAGTGTGCAGTTCAGCAAACAGATACTAACCAAAGGCCTACAGCAGACAATTGGACACAGGGACGACTCCACCCAGGAGTAACCGCTTCAGCGAAGAACATTCAGCACAGAGCAGGAAGTGGGAGCAGCAGCCTCGAGGGCCAAGACAGTGATGCCAGAACACAAGAGCCACCTCCCTTCACTTCCTCCAGCCAACCTGCGCTCCACTGTGGACCATGTGGCTTGGGGGAAGAGTCCTGGCCTCCTGCTGGGCCACCAGCCCACAGGGTCTCCATTTGGCAAGTAAGGGACAGGCTGGAAACTTCTCTAGTGTTACAGTCTTGATACTCTAATGAAAAAGGTCACAAATTCCTTGGACTAAAACAAGCTAACCAAGTTGGGCTGAACTAACAGAACTCGGGAAGCGGTCCCCCCTGGAGCCTCTTCACACCTGTGATAATCACAGATCTCCTCTTGCGATCGCTTTAAAGCATACAAGTGAGCTGCTAGCTTTGGCACGATGGGGAAAAATGACAGTTCCTTCCTTTCTTTTCACAAAAGGACATTGAAATCCAACAGGATTCAGGGTGTGTGGAGATGCCAGACCCAGGATTGCAACAATGGGACCTGTCTGGCTCCAGCTGTCTTATTTTCCAGCCTGGAGATGTTCTAGCTATCACACCCAGGGGAGGCCTCAGCAAAAATGACCATCGAAGCTAGTGAAATGGAAGGTAGCATTCAAAATGTAACACTGGTTTTCTTGAAATGGAATACTGGTTTTCCTATAGCGTGTATAAGGCACGGTGTGAGAAAGCCGCCCCCACTCCCAGCTGCACAGCCCCATGGGCTCCTCACACGCTCACATGCACACAGGAAAGGCCAGCTGGCTTTGCCACAATGCACGGGGAATGGGCTGTTTCTGATCACTTCTGGTTTTTGAGCTGGTTGGAGAGCCAGTCCAGGCCTTCGTAGAGCCCATCTCCGCTGGTGGCACACGTAGCCTGAATGTACCAGTTTCTCTGGCGAAGGGAATGTAAGCCGAGCTTGTCTGTGATCTCCGCTGCATTCATGGCATTAGGAAGATCCTTAAAGGAAACAAGCAGGCAGTTTACCAACTGTATCCGTGTGACACAATAGGACTTTACTCTAAAACGTACCCGACCCACCATCCCTATTTCAGTTACTCAGGCCCAAAACCTTCACTTTTTCTTTCTCAGTCCAAACAACAGGAAATCTCTACGGCCCTACCATCAGAACTGGTTCAGAATCTGACCACCTCTCCCAGCCTCTCTGCCACCACCTTGATCTGATGCCACCATAGTTCCTCACCCGAATAATGGAAACAAGCTCTTCATGGCTCATCCTGCTTCCGTGCTTGCCCCTAATGCCTAGTCAGAACACACCTCCTATCAAAGCCACACCAGCGTGTCCCCTCTCCCAGAGAAGAGCCAAAGCTGCCACCATGGCCTGCCAGGCTCTGGGGCCTCTAACTGGCTTACTTCATCTTTTTATCATAGCATCCCTATGTGTGACCATTTGATAAAAGTTATTTACTCAGGGTATTAATTATATATCATGTTTCTTTTAACTAGAAAGTAAGGCAGAAAGCTTTCTCTTTTCTCTGACCCATACCTGGGTTACCCACGCAGTAAGCTAAAACTAGCTGGACTAGATTAGCGTCAAAGGAAGATCTAGATGTACTGATATGAAAGAATGTCAAGTGTATGCTAAGCGAAAATACAGGAATTTAAATAGAAATATAATCACATAATTGTTTACATAGACATAGAAAGTTTTATATCTAGAAAGACATACAAAAAAATTGACTGTTTTATCCGACAATCAAAGTGAGAAGAACGGAAGGTAGCATCCAGAAGGTAATGCTGGCTTTCTTTTAATGGAATACTGCTTTTTTTAGGAGCTGTTTAAGTCTCAGTGTGAGAGCTCTGCCCCCACTCCCAGCCACATAGTTCCAGGAACTCTTCACACGTCCATATGCACACAGAGAAGGTGTTCTACTTGACATTCTAAACTGCTTTTCAAATTTCTACCTTGGACGGGTTCGGTTTTTAAACATTAAAAACAAAGCCACTATTTTCTTGCTGTGTCCAGAATGAAGCTGCCGAGCACCCTATGAGCACGACAGGGTGCAGGCGAGTGAATCAGGAGGCATCCCCCTCAGGAGGTCATGTCTAGAGTGGGGCTGACAAGAGAAACTACGGCTGGCCAGTCTCAAGTGATAGCACTGTCCTTCCAGCACGATCTCAGCTGAATGGGGAAAGCAGAAGGGGACGCACAGCCCTGGCATTCAGTTCTGCTCAGACCCAGAGGTTGAGCAGCTCTGCATCTGCCTTCCTCCCCCATTTCATGGCCTTCCCTTTCTAGATGAGCCTCTTCCTCCCCAAGCTGCCCTTTGCCCCACCACCCCCACATTTTGCTTCTGGAACCTGTGGCTCCCTTCAGTCCTGGCTCAGATCTAAGAGTCACTCCCAGCACTTCCCACAGCCCTTCTGCACCCCCTCACAACACTGACTTCCAGACATATTGAGGCTTTATTCACTGCCTCTCCTCCCACTTCAGAGCAAACACAAATGCAGGGCCTTGTGTCGTGTTCATTGCTAAGTACCTGCAGCAAAGCTGGGAACTTAGCGGGTGTCCCATTAGTATTTTCAGAGTGACTATGAGACATTATAAAAAGGAGATGGAGGAGAGGCGGTGGTTGAGACTGGTGAGGAGGAGGCAGACATCTAATTTAGATATCTATACATTTAAATAAGCCATCTGGCAGTAAATTTCAGTCTCAGTGTTCGGAAAGCTAACAACTGCATACCTGTTTGTTTACAAACACCAATAAAACTGCATCTCGGAGCTCATCTTCTGCTAACATTCTGGTTAGTTCTTCCCGGGCCTCATTGACCCGCTCTCTGTCATTACTGTCAACCACGAAAATCAGACCTGAAAAGAAATCCCAAGCATGTTAGTAACATGAACTCAGAGAGAACCGCTGTTCCTCTATCCACACAGCTGCTCCCTGCTCCCGGCAAGGCTCTGCTGGAGGCAGTGGCAGCAGGAGCTCAGTGCAGGCCTGGGATCTCAGCACTGAGGGAGGTGCTGAGGCAGAAATATCGCACACAAGGTCAAGGTCAGGCTGAGCTGACCCTGTCTCCCCCCATTACTCCTTTTGGAAAGTCTATATAATCTCCACAGTTGGGAAGCTTCCACATTCGTCTCTCCTGTCTCGTTCAGAAGGATCCTTACCAGACTAACCAGAGGGAACAAAGAAAAGTTAGGCTTAGTTACTAGTCACCTGCTTTCCACCTCAGAGGGAAAGGGTTTTGGAAGAGCACGGTTTATACATAAACAGCATCTGAGGATGTTGCCCTAAAACAGAGCCTTAACCGAAGGCCTGGGAGCAGGTCTGCTGTCTTGGACCTGGTTCTTCAGGAAGCAGGTGTGAGGCCTTGGGGGCACAAAGGACTGAAGGAAGGGACGGTTAACATAAAATCGAGCAGTCGGCCTGGTAACTCCCAGGTGAACAGTGTTGGATGCTGTTGGACATTCCAAGCCATATGAAACCTTTTGTACCCCCATGGAAAAAGGGGGGCAATTGTTTGTCCTTCTATACATACCCAAAAAGAACCTAAAAACTGTAAAACCCTCAACATTCTCACCTTTCTGAGAATGTCGAGATTCTTATGGACACCTATGGTAAAGCATTGGTTGCTCTTTTGTGGCCAGCACTTCCAGTGGGAGCGGAGTCCACCTCTGCTAGTTTATACTACTGAAACTGCCCCTGGGGAAGGGAGGGCAGCTGGGGTTTGACCCACACGGCCAAGTGATTCGCTCCATGTGCCTGTAACGAAGTCCAATAAAAACAAGGTGCACAAGAGCTCAGGGAAACTTCCCTGGTGGCACTTCTGTTCACCGTCTTACATCCATGCACTAGCAGAATCAGGTGCCGCTCCTGGAACTTGGGGGCAGCGGCCAACAGGAGCTGTGGCTGGCAGGCACCCTCGGGTCTTCCCGTTGACTGTGCACTAACGTTTTTTTGTTGCACTCACACTGATTGTGAGGACAGCTCTATGCCGAGAGGTCTGGGATTCATCCTCACAAGCTATCAGACCTGCCTGTGGGGTGCAAACTGCCAGACTGTAACCATCCAGCAGGAAGTCAGGGCGGCTGGGGGACCCCAATCCTACCACAGCCGATGACAGAAGTGAGGGAATCTTATACTGTGAAGTGCAGCCCAGCTCTGGGTCATGGTTGTCAGAGCCTTGACACACCCATAGATCAGTAGAGAAGTCCCAGCAGGTGAGAAACCCAGGCAGGCTGAAGGAGGCACCACGAGCTACCACACCACACCTAGGGAATAGCTGACCCCTGTACAGATTTGCCACATTGCTGAAGGAAGCAGTAAGGCAGGAAGAATGTGCAGGGGTGAGCACAGACTGGGGAAGAGTTCTGTCAGTATTCCACAGGACAACAACAGTAGCAAGTTGGCACTTAGCTGACAGCAAGGCCTTTGAGACAGAAATGAGAAGCAGCTGCCAAAAGAACTTGCGTGATCCTCGGCTGAACTCCCAGTAGTGACAGCTACTCCATTTCTGGGGTGTGGGCGATGACAAGCTGATTTCTGGGCATCGATCAGATGGTCCCTGGAATATTACTCTGCTAGAGTCGGACCTTAACACTCTTAAGTCACAGGTACACTGGAGGTCTCAAAGAGCTAGCGGGACAAGGCATCAGACACTGGCCAAGTGATATAACCAGGGAAACTCCTGGAAGAAAACACTTGGCGAGAGATTGACAGCTATCTTTGACATCAGAAGGGCCATGGCATTGAGTCAGGAAGCTCTGGAGGCCTCAACGAGGAGACAGAAGACAAGCAGGAAGAAATCACGAGAAGTCCCCAGGACAGAGGCAGAGGACTGCAGAGAAAGGGAGCCTCAGAGAACTCTGCTAGAGGTGCCCAGCTTAAGACCCAGCTCATGGGGGCTCTGCAGGAGGAGACTCTGGTAGGGAAACGGAAGCAGGGTCAGATGACACTGAGGTTTCACAACAGTCCAAGGGAGAGAACCAGGCCTGACCCTCGGCCCAGGCCTCCATGTGTCCCAGGCCCTCCAGGCAGCCTACCCAGAAGACAAGCACTCTCAGGATTTCTGACATACTTAGAGTCTTCGTGTAAGTCAAAGTTCTATCTGCTATATCACCAGATTAGGAAGGAAAACACTCAGGCCCCCACCCACATAGGTCTGGGATGCTACTCGCAATTCTGAATCCCAATTCTAAGTACTCTAGCCGATTTGGAAATTCAAGCAGATCCTTAGCTGCCAATGCAAACCCCACAGAGCAGAAATGACTGCTAGCGCTCTGCTAGTCCTAACTCAAGGATAACTTTATGTCCTTGCTGGGGAATGCTGTTTTCAGGTGTGGGACTTTGTTTATGCTGCATTTGTTTAACTCTGTGAAGCTGTGTTACTATGCTGTCTAAAACACCTGATGATCCTAATTAAAAGATGAATGGCCAATAGCGAGGCAGAAGCAAGGATAGGCAGCGCCAGCAGGCAGAGTATAAACAGAAGGAGAACCGAGAACAAGGAGAACACCAGGGAACAGCCACTCAGCAAGTCAAGGAGAAAGAAGTAAAGGAGCTACAGAGAAATAGAAAAAGAGGCAAAGGCAGTCAGGATAATTTAGGCTAGGAAAAGCTGGCAAGAAACAAGCCAAGCTAAGGCCAAGCATTTATAGGTAAGAACAAACCTCTGTGTGTGTGATTTATTTGGGAGCTGGGTGGTGGACCCCTCAAAGAGCCAAATGTCATAAAACACGTCCTTTACTGAATACTCTCAACAACATGATGTTGCCCGTGTGCCTGAGACCCAGGCAGTTCTCTAAAATCAAGAGCCAAAATACATACTTCTTCCCTTAAAAATAAAGTAGAATTACATCAGACTGTTTTGATCTAGGTCCTGATCTAAGAAGCTACCATCAGTGTGACTACACTTACAAAGAGAAAAGGTGCGCCGATACAAGAACTTGTTAAGGAGCCCTACGTAGTTGGAGAACCATGCGTTCCAGGCAAGCCTGACCTCACAGCAACACCCTGCGGTAGAGCACTTGCCTGGCATATGCAAGGTTCTAGGTTTGATCTCAGCCTTGCTCCTCACCTCTCTAGGAAAGGAGGAAGTAGGGGAATATATGTATTACATTTATTATATTATCTACACTTGTAGAAAAGGTATGTGTAGACACAAAAAATAAAGGTGTTTGTGTGTAGGAGGTAAACTGAGAAATGAAACTTTTTTCTTTGTATCCTTTCCTCTTTTTCTTCTTTTTTTTTTTTTTGATACAGGTATACTACCATTCAATAATGGATGAACCAATGTGAGTGTAGTGGCTCACAATCTTAGGCCCAGCACTTGAGAGGCAGAGGCAGGTGGATCTCTGAGCTCAAGGCCAGCCTGGTCTACAGCCAAGGCTACACAGAGAAACCCTGTCTCAATCTGCCACCTCCAACAAAAAAATAACCCACAGAACAAGGAGAAAAATCCACATTAGAAGTAATGATCTATTTTTTTTCCGTTTATTTATTTATTAAAGATTTCTGTCTCTTCCCTGCCACCTCCTCCCATTTCCCTCCCCCTCCCCCAATCAAGTTCCCCTCCCTTGTCAGCCCATAGAGCTATCAGGGTTCCCTGCCCAGTGGGAAGTCCAAGGACCACCCACCTCCATCCAGGTCCAGTAAGGTGAGCATCCAAACTGCCTAGGCTCCCACAAAGCCAGTACGTGCAGTAGGAGTAATGATCTATTTTATACACACTACAGTTATCAGGAAATCAGACAGTTTAAATTCTAGTCTATATAGGGCTCATGGGGCTGAGAAAGCGTTCTAGCCCTGAGCTTTATCCTCAGGGTTTTTATTTTGAAACATCTCACAAAGCTGACAAGGCTAGTCTTGAATTTATTCTGCAGCCCAGGCAGACCCTGAATTTGTGATCCTCCCTTGACATTCTGAGTAGCCATGATTTCAGGCCTGTACCTCCAGGCTCAGTTTTTGATGTCTTAATAGAGAATTATAAGCATTCATTAAGGTCTGTTATGACCTTAACAGACTGATGAAGAAAATTTAAATTAAAAGGCAGCCTGACCTTTGGGAAGTTGGCAGACAAAATAGGGGCAGCATCCAAGACTCCTCACAGATGAGACGTGGCCCAGCCAGAGACGGCAAGTCCATTCTTCACAAAGCTCCTTCTTGCTATTTCAGAAGCCCAAACTACCACCCTTCACTCCCAGAACACAGCTACTTCCTCCACCAAAGCAAGAGTTACTGAAATTCTATAAAATTAGGCTTGTTACAAACAGAAAACTGAAGACAAAATGCACCTCAATTTGACACTGAAATGTGGAAACTAAATAGGGAGGGAAGAAGTGTGGCCAGAGAAGACTGCCATCCGCCTCTGAGGGCTGCGGCCTCTCAGCCGCCCGACTGAGCACTTTACAAAATTATTCTCATTTGAGCCCCAGGATTTAGGCAAAAGGCATTATACTCTTTTTAACATGAGGGAATGGAGATTGAAGAAATTACCCGACTTTCCTAAGATTTCTTAGCAGCTGTGGTTCAAACCCAGCTGGACTAGTTTATTACAGAAGAGAAGATGCAAGGTGGCCAAGCTGCCAAGCGCCAGTCCAAGATAAGTACCCACTTCAGTGAGCATCAAAACTGCGTCCTATTTGCGAGGCCTAAATCATAATGTGAAAGTCTAGACTTCGCCATGGGAATGGTGTGGTTTCCCTGGAAATAAAGACTCAAGCATTTTTCCTGACTTCCTTGTATAGAATGTACTTCAGAAAATTCCTTATTTAAAAGGATTTCAGCAGACAAATAGAGAAAGAGTAACAAAGGGTCTGGGGAGTGGCTTGATGTCCTTGAAAAAGGCCCTGGTCAACCCCCAACAACACAAAGACAACAATAAAGAGTTCAGGCCAGAGACTGCAGAGATGGCTCAGAGGTTAAGAGCAGTGCCTGCTCTCCCAGAGGTCCTGAGTTCAATTCCCAGCAACCACATGGTGGCTCACAACCATCTGTAATGAGATCTGGTGCCCTCTTCTGGCACGCAAGCATACAAGGGAGGAATGTTGTATACATAATAAATAAATCTTTAAAAAAAAAAAAAAAAGAGTTCAAGGCCAGTCTGCAGTAGGCAGGCCCTCTCAGAAGGGATAACACAATTTAAAGAAACTACCATTTTGCAACTCCTAACAAAACAGAGTACTCAACATCATTCAAAGTACACTAGGATTACGTGGTAAAGGTTGATAGGAGTTTCATTTGGGGAAGTTAGGTTGACATCATGTGAGCACACTTGGCATCAAAGTATGAAAACCCAGAAGCTGCAGGGGGCTCAAGGTGGGAGAGGCCAGTGTTTCATGGGTGCTGGATTTCAGTTGTACAAGATGAGGTAGGTTTTGAAAACAGGCAATGATTATGATGGTGCAACATTATGAATGTATTTAATACCAACGACCTATAAGCTTAGAAGTAGTTTATATCCCCAAAAGAGTGGGTGTGTATGTATAAACTCTCTATATATATGTATATATACATACACACAAACACTATGACACAATAACAGAATACAAGTACAAAACAACAACAGAGAAACCTTTCACCCAATCATTCTGCTCACAGGTAAATCAAGATAATTGAAATAAGGACACACACCATAATTCCAGCACTCAGGACGCAGAGGCCGGAGGAACTCCAATACCTGCAGAAGAATGTTCATAGCAGCACTGTTCATGAAAGCAAAAAAGGGAAAGCAACCTAAATGTTCATTAATTAATGAACAAGCCAGGGTCAGGCAGTGGTGGCCATGCCTTTAGTCTCAACACTCAGGAAGCAGAGGCAGGTGGATCTCTGAGTTCAAGGCCAGCCTGGTCTACAAAGCAAGTTTCTGGACAGCCAGGGCCACACAGAGCCTGTCTCAAAAAACCACAACAAGAAAAAAAAATGTATTTTGTTGTTGTTGTTGTCATATTGTGTGTATGTATACATGCATGCATATATATGTATGTATATATAAAGTTTATACATACACATACTCGTGAGAGGGGGGATAAAGACACACACTTGTTGTACATACTCAGTTTAAATGTCCAGGCTCATTTAAAACTCAGGATCTTCTCACTGCAGCCTCCCTAGCTGAATCAGCCAATTTTGTCCTATAGTGAAGGCTAACTATATTTTAAGTTCAAAGCCATCCTGGGTTACATAATCTTGTCTCAAAAGAAGAAAAACTTTTTTAAAATCCACCCTATTTTGAGGAAACATATTCGAAAATCTACAAGCTGGGAAAATAACTATAAATTTAGTTACATGTCAAGTGTGACAGCAAAAGAATAGCATTAAGATATAAAGGGACAACTAACCTGGGGTGTGGTCCTAAAGGCTGCAAATGTTAAGGTCTTTACTGTTAAACACATGCAACAAAAACTCCATCAGCTTCAGAATCTTCAAAAGCGAATATATCCTAAGTAGACTCCAAAGTGATTAATGTGTAGATGCCATATGGTGACATGGGAACCAGGGTATGAAAACCACGAGAACAGTCTATTTCAACTGACAAGACCCAGGAAGGCACCATTTACTGAAAACACAGCCCTGGGGACACAATTGAATTAGAACTACTTCCCAGAGATCACCGGTAAGGGAGCAGGGTGCAGATCTGAGACGGGTGTCCATGCCTGCTCATAAACACCTGGAGCAGGAGGGCCATCAGGGAAGCACTGCGGCCACACAGATGACAGGATCCATCATGGGGCTCCAGCCATCCCTATTCATCCCTTTCCCTATGGACATGATTTCCAGATATTCTCAGGAGATTTAAAGGAGTTGACTGAATTCAAATTCTTCAAAAATCGGCACTTGATCTAAGGACATATCCCTCAATTAACTGAAAGATGAGACCCATTAGGCTAACCATTTTCCAACCTTTCTGCACTAAGAAGAGTTAAAACCCAGGTCTTTTTCTGGGTTATGTCTAGGAACAATGTCACAAGTCACTTCCCTGGTCAGAATGGCTGGCTACCCATATAAGGCAGTGCCAGCAGGCATCACAGGTTCCCATCTTAAAACACATTCAGTAGGCACACTTTGAGCTTTACCTTGAGTGTTCTGGAAGTAATGTCGCCACAAAGGTCTGATTTTGTCTTGGCCACCAACATCCCAGACTGTGAAGCTGATGTTTTTATATTCTACAGTCTCCACATTGAAACCTAAGTAGGAAAGTTAGAAAAACTTTTCATTATGATTTTCACTGGTTCAATAATTCAAGATAACTCCAATTAACATTTGGATAGCACTGCTAATTTATAAAGCAGCTTGAAAACCAAAGAGTTACAGGTCACAGGGAGAAAGTTCACACTCTGTCATTCATTGTGCCTGGTGTCTCAAAACCTCTCTACTCTGACCACCCACTGCCCACCACCCAGCTAATCATAAGAAAAAGCAGAGCAAAGGAAGACATTCCGATTGATTCGCCGACAATAAAACAATCCTAGCAGCAGTCAGTGTCTTCTTCCTGTCAGATGGCAGGTTCCACTGTCACTGCTGGGGCACAGCCTTTGGAGGGGAGCCTGGGTGTGCACATTAAATATTCACCCCTCATGTGAAGCTGTCTTCCAGAGCTTACCGCAAGGAAATAAAGTACATGTCTGCAAATATGTAAGGCAGGGTCTGGAGAGATGGCTCAGTGGTTAGAGCACTGGCTGCTCTTCCAGAGGACCTGGGTTTAATTCCCAGCACCCACATGGTGGCTCACAACTGTCTGTAACTCCAGTTCCAAGGGATTGGATGCCCTCTTCTGGCCTCTAAAAACACCAGGTCCACAAGTAGTGTACAGATATAAACGCAGGCAAAATACCCACATATATAAAATAGAAAATAAAAATAAATGTTTTTTAAAAGTGAAAGATACTCACAAAAAAACAAACAAGTGAGCCTGCCATGGCAGTACAGGCCTGAAATTTTAGCACTTGAGAGGATGAAGCAAGAAAATGGCTGCCAGTTTAAGGTCACCTACATAGCAAGACTGTGTCTTAAAAAGATTAAACAACAACAAACAAGTCCAGCACACTAAGGCTGGGAAAATAGCTCAGGAAATAAAGTGCGAGGGCCTAGATTCAATTCCCACAAGGAGGGCGGGGATGGGGTGAGGTGGGAAGGGGGTGAGGGTAGGAGTGGGATGAGGTGAGGTGGGGGTGGGGTAAAATGGGGCAGGGATTGGATGGGGTGGGCTAGAGGATTTGTAATCCTAGAACTAGAGAGACAGAGACAGGAGGGTCCCTGGGGCTTGCTGATGAACCAGCATGGAACTCACCTGCAAGTGAGAGATTCTGTCTCAAAATTAGGAGTGAGGGGTGGAGAGGTAGGGGTAGATAAGACTGAAGAATGATACCCAAGGCTAAACCCTGGCCTTGACACTCTGAAAGGCAGGCTTGCATGCACGCGCGCGCGCGCGCGCACACACACACACACACATACACACACACACAACTGCAAATAACCTAACCACCTACGAATGAATTAGTTTAAAATACAGCCATATAATGGAATACTAAACCCGTTATCAAAAACATCCTGCTGCTGTCCCTTTTAATCTAGTGAAGGCCAGCTCATTCTTTTGGTCTCAGTTCATCTCTTCATTGGTGGCATCAGCCTTCTCTTTAGCTCTATTTACCTAGGGAGCCAGCAAGTCAGAGTGCTCTCTTTCAAGGTGGTCTTTTATCCCCTAGAGGCACTGGCTTCCTTAACATGGTGGCAGCTTTCAATGCCGGTGATGTTTCCCTAGCTAAAGGAAGTGGCCAAGTTCAGCACCATGAAGGAAGCGGCACAAGGGCAAAGCGTGATTCATTGGAGGTCATTAGTTCAACAATCACATCTTTATGCAATTCATTCACCAAAGATGAATGAACTATCAGACACCTAACATGGCCAGGTGTTTTATTAAACGCTGGGGACAGTGAACAAGTCACGCATGCTTCCTTACTTACACTGTTAGAAAGAAGAGAGTGAACAATCAATAAACCACAAACATCTTAAGTATTACTAAGGACTTCAAGATACTCTGGAAACTTAGAGCAAGGGAAAAGGAAAGGAGCCTCTGAGAAAGAATGTTTAAACTGAGACCAAAAGAGTAGGCTGGCAGCGTTCTCTAGGTAAAAGGGAAGGGGCAAAGAAAGGAGGAGGAGAACATTCCAGAGGGAAATCTCAACACTGCTGAGTGCAAACTGAGAAAACAGCACTCATTTTACAAACATACCCATCAAAATCCTTCAACAGAATATTAAAAGACTATTCAAAACTTGTATATATTTTTGCATATAAAAATTTACAGAAGCATGTATTTTTATCTTATTTGCGTGTGTGTGTGTGTGTGTGTGTGTGTGTGTGTGTGTGTGTACACGGCCATGTGGAGATCAGAGGGCAACTTTGTGGAGTTCCAGGAATAGAACTCAGGTGCAGGAACCAAATCAGGTGGTCAGGCAGGCAGCAAGAGCCTTTGCCTGCTGAGCTACGTGCCAGCCCATTTATTGTTTTTATAACTGGGGAGAGCTGTTTTCATCTTGAACTAAAACATTTTCAAACTGCATGTGTGAACATTTCTATCAGTTTATAACGTTCTTCAAATGCTTCAACCTCTGAAGCAAGCGCCTCAGGTCAAAGTTGAGCCATCTCAGCCACACCAGAAAGACAGTGCGCAAAGGCACGTGACAGCCTGGGGAATCTGGTTTTGTAGGCAAGTCACAAGGCGAAGATTAAGTTGTCACAACTGCTTTTGCAAATCTCCTAAAGAGTCCACAAAACACAGCGCTGGTTCACAGTAAAGGCAGGCTGCTGAATCCCTTCAGCTGGATACCATACCACCTCACATATCTGTCTTGAGGAAGGGCAAGAGGAACACAAAGTCTACCTTTAAACACCTGGTTCAAAGAGACACTCCCAAGAGAAGTCAGATAGAGCGGAGGCTGCGAAAGGCAGGGCTAGTTCCCACCTGAGGCTTGACCTAGGTCCCACTCCATAGCAAGAGTAGAGAGCAGTGCTTCCTTCCTTTACCATCTCAGTGGTTACTCTCTTTTCCTCATTGCCAAGCAAACAGGGTTAAATCTGCTTAGCCTAAACTTGTTCACGACTCTCCTGTAAGCCAATGAAGGTGCCAGGGATGCTAAGAAGCACTTAGAAATACCTATGGTGGAACACAATGGTACACTGTGAAGGATAAATCAGAAGAAGTGTCACAAGTTCAAAGTCAGCCTGTACAGTGTAAGACCTTGTCTCAAAATACAAAATAACACAACATCATCTGGGGCTTCAAATGTACATTCTTAAAGTAGTCAAAGTTTTTTTAAAAAAAAATATTCAATATAAAAAGCACATCAGGGGCTGGAGTAAAATGCTTGTTGATCAAGAATGAGTACCTGAGACTAGATTCCCCAGCTCACAAGTAAAGGCTTGGTGGGCAGTGGTGGGACAGGTCTTTAATCCCAGCATTTGGGAGGCAGAGATAGGAAGATCTGCCTGGTCCACATAGTGAGCTCAAGGTCAGTCAGAGCTACACAGAGAAACCCTGTCTCAAAAAACAACAACAAAAAAGAGATAGGCCTGATGGCACGTCTGTAACCATGTTGTCGGAGGGTGGGGGGTGTACGTCATACAGGAAGATCCTCAAGCTTAATAGCCAGTCAGCCTTGTCAAAATGGCAAGCTCTGGCTTCAGTGAAGAGGCTCTGTCTCAAAAAAATAAGGTGGAAAGTGATAGAGAAGACACCTGATATGAACATGCATATACACACATGAAACATACATATGCAAATGAAACTTTTGAAAAAACAACACATCAAAGTACAACATGCTAAACTATGAACTGGAAAGGCCACAGGCATGGACATACCTATGGTAGGGATGGTTGTCACAATCTCTCCCAGCTTCAACTTGTACAAAATGGTGGTTTTGCCAGCTGCATCCAAGCCCACCATGAGAATCCGCATTTCCTTCTTCCCAAATAGGCTTTTAAACAGTTTTTCAAAAACATTCCCCATTGTAGATGAATTCTGTAACCTGAATGAAAAGCAAGTTGAACAGTTATTTTCTGAGATATATATATCTCATATATATACACATATTCATTGGTAAGTGTATAAAAGCAGCATACATAAAATACAAGGCACAATTAGTAGTGGTTCCTAGTAAAAGTTAAGTACAGCTTGGCCAATAAGGAAAAGTGTGTCTTGTTTTCAAAAGCAGACAACACTAGCCCTCCTCTGATGCTTTGCCAGAAAACTGTATTTTCCACTGCAGCATCCAAGTGGGAAGTGAGACACACAGTCAATGCCATGCTATGTGCAGCCTTCAGCCACCTTAAGCATGGAAGAAATGCCACCACATATAACTATACTTTCTTCTAAGCCCACCTAAAATGAAAATTTAGGGAGCAGACACCCTGTTCTCCACAATATGAAGCAAAGCTCTTAAGGCGGGTAAAACAGCGATATCTCTAAAAACTATAGCTGCCCTTGGCTGGCAGACCATACCAATACTGAGAGAAGAACTAGGAAGTTTCAGAGTTGAAGATACCAATATTGGGGACACACATCAAGTAGATAGATAGGTTGAGGGCATACTTTAGCATCTGTTTTTGTTTTTTGTTTGGTTTGGTTTGGTTTTTTGAGACAGGGTTTCTCTGTAGCTTTGGAGTCTGTCCTGGAACTTGCTATGTAGACTAGGCTGACCTCAAACTCACAGAGATCCTCCTGCCTCTGCCTCCCGAGCGCTGGGACTAAAGGCGTGGGCCATCACCACCTGGCGGAGTTGACCATCTTAGAATTTATGAACAGATATAATATGAATGACTGACTCCAAAGGTCCATGAATGTTCATGAACCAAAGACAGCTACTGTAACCATGTCAAGGAAAAGGTAATTAATTAGCAGACCATCTCCTCCCTGTGCCCCCTCCAATCATTACTCCCTAGAAGGTCATTATTCTATTGACTGGAACAGCTTAAACTTCAGCAGTTAGTGGAATACCCGGCAGGTCATCTGACAAAGCAAAGCCATCAGATGAGTTTTTGCAGAACGTTCGTCTTCCTCTTAACGGATCTGCCTATTCAAACGGTGTGATATTTCAGACTGAAAAGCAGAACTACTTGTACACCCAGTATACTCTATTCAACAATGACTGTTCAAAAACACGTTCTTGAGTCCCAAAGCCCAAACAAAACAAATCCCCATAATCTCCTTTGTTCCACAAACCATGGTTTGCCTTTACAAATTGTTCACCAAGGAAAGCTTTACTGGAGTCTCTCTCTCTGTCTCTGTGTGTGTGTGTGTGTGTGTGTGTGTTCATCCAGATTCTAGTGACTCAGAGGGGAGAGTGGCCAATTCCAGAAGTCCCTCTTTTGAAAGTCAACAGTTCCTACAACAGCTTAATACCGTGGACTATGGCCAAGTACACACCACTCCATTCCACCATGAGAGAGGGTGAGCACACTTCTGTACACATATGAGAACCAAATGATCAAAGAAAGAATGACTACTTTCTTCATTCACGGGTCTGTCATGCTCTAAAAACAGTCCAGTACCTTGACGCATTCAAAATTCCTAGATTCCTTTCATGTTTCCGGGGGGTGTGGGGGGTGAGAAGTGTCATAGACCAGGAAACTCAAAGGGCCATTCATTCGGAGGAAAGGGAGGAACCTCCTGCTTCCAGTCCCCTGGAGGCCCAGTGCCAGATTCTCCTTGCCACCGCACAGCATATTCATGGTTGTCCCGCTAGTTTCCCTTGGTTCATCACCCCGCTCCGGTGCCCGAGGTACTAGGACGCACGGTGGGCAGGGGGCCCCTCTGGAGTAAGATCCATCAACTCTAGAGCCCTTTCCAAACGTCCGCAGAGAAAGATCACAAGTGACAATGATAGTGAGACCTCAAGGGCACGAGCGACAGCAGTAGCCAAGGTGAGCGCGCGCAGGGGCGGGCACGCGCACCGTGAATCTGGGGCCGATGAGGGCTGTTTGCCCGGGACACCAGGCTGGCTCCCTTGGGACAGCGGACTGCTACGCCGCAGAGCCCGCCAGGCATCAATCGGCTCCGCGCCGTCCGGCCCGACGGAGGCGGGGAACCCAGTGGACCCAGCCCCTTTCGAAAGCCGCCGCGGCCGCTCTCCGGTGTCCTGCCCGCTGACACTCAGGACACCAGCGGGGCCTCGAGCCCCGCCGTCCCTCCCCTGCAGCCCGCCACTCACCTGTCTCTGCGGTGATCACCTCCACAAAGCCAGTCCCGAAGCCGCTACTCCGCCGCGATCGCCTGGAAGAAGTCGGCGCTCAATAAAATGGCGACTGGCTGGAGGCGGGGACAGCAACCAACCAATCATCCGTCGCCTTCTGGGAACCCTTGAACCAATGACCTCGAAGTTCCTTGAGTGACAAGAAATCTGACCAATAGAAAGGACAATAAAGGGTGGGCGCGAGGAGGCCCGACCCCCGCGACCTAGGCGACGGCACCAAGCTCTGGAAATGCCGGCTTCATCTTCCAATGGGAGCCGCGCCCACGTGTCCCACCCCAAGGCTACAGGCAACCAATCAGAAAAGCAGAAAGAGTTCCGATTTGCCCCGCCAATCAACTCCGGGAATTCTCAAGGCTCGAACTAACCCCGGGAGCCTTCTGACCAACCCAGTACCGCTATGTAGGCGGGGCAAAGTTGACAGAGATATTTAAGGAAATTTGCTGCTGTTGAGCTAAAAGTAGAAACTAGTTTGGAGCCCAGTTCCTGGTCGGAAATACCCAGATATCAACATCGAAATTAGGCATAATGAAGATTTCGTATTTAGTATGAAGTTTGAGTGCCGCCGTTCTTGTATACAGACTTTCAACAGTAGGGAGGAAAATAGTCACCAGTACCTTTTCGGTGTCCCAGAGTTGCAGCGTGCATTCCTTGAGAAATGCTTTAAATTACTCACTCCTCCAAATAATACCAACCTATTTAGTTAAGATGCTTACGAAGGCCTGTCGATGTTGCGTGACTGACGTAATCAAGGATTAAGGGTGTAGTTCAGTGGTTGAGCGCACACTGAACTACACGTGTGGTGACGGGTTCAGTCCCCTAGCGCAGCATATAGGACCTAGTACATTAGTTACCAGCTTTATTCAATGCTAAAACAAACAAACTATCGAAAGCTTGAAGACACCTGAATTGTACATTACTAAGTGAAAGAAGCCAGGCAGAAAAGGCTTGATATACAGTAGGCAGTAAAATCATTAAGGATCTCAAGAATTTAGTAGGGAAGGAAAGATGAATAAGTGGAGCACGGAGCACTTTTAGAAAAGCAAATGTGTTCTGTAAGGTAATCATGATAGGCGGTGCCAGTATACAAGTGTCCAAGCCCAGGAGTGCACTTCCCATCGTTTGGTTACACTGTACCTCTAATGGGGGATATCGGTATCTGGAGAGGATGTTAGAGGGGAGCAGAACATGGGAGGTCATTACACCTCCCTCTCAGTTTTGCAGTGAATCTAAAACACTCTAAAAATGACCCTTAAAAAAAATGGGGGGGGGGAGCTGGAGAGATAGCTCTAAAGTTTAGAGCACTTCCTACTCTTGCAGAGGACTCGGGTTTGTTCCTAGAACCTATGTCAGGTGACTCACAACCTCCTGTAACTCCAGCTCCAGGTGAGCTGATGCCTTTCTCTCGATTCCTCAGGCACCCACACATATGTGGCACACACACACACACACACAAACACACACACACACACACACACACACAAATAAAAATAAATATTTTTTTAAAAAAAGGTCCATGTTCACTTGAAAGCTAAACCACGGAATCGTGAAAGCATGTCCCAGTAAGCATGGACTTGATCCCACATTGGGTGCCAGATGAAGGGGAGCGCATCAGATGTGGGGGAGGCAAATAAAGAAATCCCACACTAGCTCCAAATAGGGTATGATAAATAAGGGGTTATTTATTAAAGGAACTCACAGATCACAATGGGAACAGAAACGAAATCCAACATCTAGGTGTGGCAAGCAGAATGGGCCTGTACCTTTTTGGTACCCAAGGCCACGCCCAACCTGGTCCAGCCCCTCAAAGGCCATTGGCTGGAGGAGGTTCCCATCAGTTTTGTATATATTATATATGCTTTCTCTCTTGCTTGCCTTTTTATGGTGGTGGAGATCAAGCCCAGAGCCTTGCTCAGGCCGGGCAAGTGCTCTACCACCAGCTATGTCTCTACATATATATATATATATATATATATATATATATATATATATATATATATGCTTTCCATTGCTGTAACAAAGTATCTGAGATAACTGACTTAAAAAGAGAGAAGGCTTATTTTGGCCCACAGTTTTGGTTCTGTCCATGGTTGATTAACCCCATTGTTTTGGACTGTGATGGCATCATGGAGGGACGACATGGCGGAAAAAGCCTGTTTATCATGGGTGGAAGACACCTTTCTCTCTCTCTCTCTCTCTCTCTCTCTCTCTCTCTCTCACACACACACACACACACACACACACACGGTTAATTTGACACAGCCTAAATTCACCTGTGATTGGGTCTCAATGGCAGATAGGTTACAATAAACATGGATTGTTTGTGGTGACATTGATGTGGTGGCAGAAGCATTTCTCCTAATAAAATATTTCCTGCCAATCAGCTGTTTACAAAGCAAGGAAAACACAATGTGCTCTTGGAAAAAGAGGAAAAAGGTTTCACACTTAGTCTCACTGGGGCAGGCCCTCCATTCCGGGTCAGACTTTAAACTCTGTAATTGGGCTGAGGGTGCATACAGGTGGAGCCCCTGCCAAGTAAGCATAAGGCTCTGGGTTTCATCTTCAGTACCAAAAAAGAAAAAGCAAAAAAAACACTTCATTGTTGATGCGACTTTGTCTGGCATCACCTAGGAAACACATCTCTGGGCTTTATCTATGAGGATGTTCCCACAGAGGACTGACTGAGAAGGGAAGGCACACCCTGAATGTGAGTGGCATCATCCTCTGAGCTGGGATCCTGGAACGGTACACATGCTGGAGAGTTTTATGTCAACTTGACACGGCTAGAGTCATCACAGAGGAGGGAGCCATGACTGAGAAAATGTCTCCTGAAGACTGGGCTATAAGCAAGCCTGTAGGGCACTTTCTTAATTAGTAATTGATGGGGGAAGGGCTCAGCCCATCGTGGGTGGGGCTACCTCTGGGCCTGTGGTTGTGCAAGCTGTGGGGAACAAACTAAGCAGCACCTTTCCATGGCCTCTGCAGCAGCTCCTACCTCCAGGTTCCTGCCCCACTTGAGTTCCTGCCCTCACTGCTTTTTATGAACTGTTAGATGAACTGTGAATGAAATAAACCCTTTTCTCCCCAAGTTGCTTCTGGTCACGGTGTCTCATCACAGCAATCGTAACCATAGCTAAGACAGAGACTGGAAAGGAAGGAAGGAGGCAAGCATCTGAACACCAGCATTTATCTCTCTGCTTTCTGACTGCAACTCCAAAGTGGGCAGTAAGCAGCCTGACACTCCTGCTGCCTTGCTGTCCCCACCATGGTGGATTGTCTCCCTCAAACCGTGAGCCAGGCCCTTTCTTCTCACACTTCCTTTCTTAGCTTGCTTTCGTCTGGGGTTTTGTCACTGCAATGAGAAGAAAGAATAAATACAGTGTATTAGTTGTAATAACTGAGGAAGGGTATAGACGCTAGCTCAACTGTGTGTCTACTGGGTCAGCTACTGAGTGAAAGGCTCTCTGGGTAATTCTCTACTTCTTTTTTTTTTAATTTTTCGAGACAGAGTTTCTCTTTAGCTCTGCTTCTTTTTTTAAGGTTTATTTATTTATTTATTTATTTATTTATTTATTTATTATGTATACAGTGTTCTGTCTGCGTATATGCCAGCACACCAGAAGAGGGCACCAGATCTCATTTCATTATAGATAGTTGTGAGCCACCATGTGGTTGCTGGGAATTGAACTTAGGACCTCTAGAGGAGCAGCCTTTAGTTTGAGGTTTTATTCTTTTGGCTTTTGGGGGACCCACCACCCTGTTCCCAAGTAAATCACACACAGAGGTTATTCTTAGTTATAAATGCCAGCCATAGCTTGGCTTGTTTCTTGCCAGCTTTTCTAAACTTAAATTATCCTGACTACCTTCTACCTCTGGACTTTTTTTTTTTAAATATTTATTTATTTATTATGTATACAATATTCTGTCTGTGTATATGCCTGCAGGCCAGAAGAGGGCACCAGATCTCATTACAGATGGTTGTGAGACACCATGTGGTTGCTGGGAATTGAACTCAGGACCTTTGGAAGAGCAGGCAATGCTCTTAACCTCTGAGCCATCTCTCCAGCCCTACCTCTGGACTTTTATCTTTCTCTATTTTTGTATAGCTTTCTTTACTTCTTTCTCCATGGTTTGCTGTGTAGCTGGGTAGTTGAGCCCTGATGTCTTTCTCTCCTTGTTCTCTTGCTCCTTCTTCCTCCTTGTTTCTCATACTATTTACACTTTCTGTCTGCCAGCCCTGCCTATCCTTGCTCCTGCCTCACTATTGGCCTTTTAGCTCTTTATTAGACCATCAGGTGTTTTAGACAGACAAAGAGTCACAACTTCACAGAGTTAAACAAATGCAGCATAAACAAAAGCAACATACCTTAAAATACTATTTCCTAACAGCAGCCAGTGCTCTTAACCTCTGAGCTATCTCTCCAACCCCAATTCTCAACTTCTTACATACAGCATTAGAGCTTAGAGGGTTTGAAATCCAAGTAGGAGATGTAAGTCAGAGTGCTTACCTAGCATGTTTGAAGTCCTGGGTTTATTCTTCCACACCAAAAACAAAACCACAGCCAAGCAGGTAGTATATCCAAACTACCTTCCCCAAGTACTATTCTCCTTAATAACTGCCTTCTGCCTCTGGAGAAGCCCCCTCTGTACACTGCCTTTGTTCTAGAAACAGCTCTACAGGACATGCATCCTTTAGGTACAACCTTAAGACACACCTCCACTTGCCCCTAGGAGGCTTACTGAGAACCATTATAGTCAGTGATGTTACCCTAGTTCACCACAGGAGGTGAGCTCCAAGGGTTGTAAGTGACTCAGCCCCTCCCCTGAGACTCTGACCCAAAGACCAGGGGACCAATATCTGAACACTCCCTTGAAAGAGATGCAGGCAGTATTCCGGCCCCACAGTGTGGATGTACAGAGTTAGGCAGGCTGGCAAGTGTACCGGGGCTCGGATCACAGAAAAGGATCATCTGGTTTCCATAGCAACAGTCCTTCCCTTCTGCAGGGAATCCTATCATGCACCCTGCCTACTCAGACTTTCCAGAATGAA